ATATTTTTTTTTTTTTTTTTCTACTTGTTGTTAGAGTTATTTTTTATTATGGCGTTTTATGTTTGTTTTTTGAAAGTTTTGTATGAACGGTGGTTGGTGTCTTATTTTTGGACTCATGATGGTATTTATTTATCTTTTGCTAAATGTTTTTTCTTATCTAAAAATATTCTGAATCCTTTTTACTTCTAAAGTTAAATTGAAGTATTTTATGAAATCTTTATTAATTAAATACTTCAATCTTTATTAATTAAATTATTGATTATTTTAAAAATTTGTATTTATAATACTTTCACTACAAAAACTTTGTTGTTTAGAGTTGGCCAAAAACCGACTCTAAATCATAAAAACTAACGTAAATTAACATAATATTGTCGGTTTTTCGTCAATTTTTGGCTGAAGCTAAATAAGTCGACACAATTTTTTTTTGTGTTGGCTAAGCCGTCCATAACAAATTTATTTATTTTAATTTTTTATTGTCAGTTAAGCTGACACTATGTCGACACAAAATTTATTTTATTTTTTCTTTATTTTCTTTTTCTAACTTATCATTTATTCGTTCGTATTTTTAACATTTCCGGGACTTGATTTGTGAACCTTAAGGTCTTAAGTGAACTTGATAACTAAGTGCACCAGAACACATTATGCGTATATAACATTGCAAAAATTATCTTTATCTCTTTCAAAGCATGTATACTGTCGGAAAAGCCAACACTATTTTAAGATGTAGCGTTGGCTTTTTCGACACTATATTTAAATTAAATTAGTACGGAAAAGCTGACGCTATATTTAAAGAATAGCATCGACTTTTTCGACACTAACCAACGCTTATTTTTCGCAATTATTTCACCGTTTTCTTGTAGTATTTGAGATAGAAAAGTGTCACAATTTGTCTAAAGTAAATAAATCAATAAAAAAATATTAATAAAAAATTTGTTAATAGAAATTCTAATCAATTATTATCATTAGTAGAAGTGAAAAAGATTGTTCAAGTTAGACTTTGACAAAGTGTAACTTAGAATATATTTACTAAGCTAGAACATGTCATGTTTATCTATTATAAACTTTTTCTTAGATCTGATATCATATATTTAAAAGTTTTCATAACTTGAAAATATATTTATATATGACTTATAGGCCAAAGTAAGTCGACAAGTTTTGATCATCACCTAAATTATTCATGTTTTTTTTGTATACCATGATCGTATTTTCATCACCTAAATTATTCATGTTTTTTTTGTATACCATGATCGTATTACTATAAAAAAAATTCTCATACAGTAACACACATCCTATAATGATACAATATGTGTCATTAAAAAGTATTTTTGGTCATACATTAAATACAATATATGTTGGTATATTGTTAAAAAGTGTTAGTATAAACTATAGTGACACATAAAATATGTTGTTAAATCACATTTAAAATCAACACTTAAATTATAAGTAGATATATGTCAAATAGATATATACTTACATATATTATACTTATAGTGATACTTTTTGTATGTTACTGTATGTGACATTTTTTTTTATAGTATATCGGGGTTCAAACCTAAGACCTTATGATATATTATCCTAACTCTACCACTAGGTCCACCTAGTAGTTCTTATTTATGTTTTGTAAAGACTAATAATAATATTAAAAAAATCTTCAAGCAATTATACTCCCTACTTCCTAAAATAATTGTAATTTAAAGTTTTTACACATAAATCAAGGATAATTATAAATGTATCATTTTTTATAAAATTTTATTAAAATAACTCACTCTTTTAATAAATGTATTACTTTTAATTATAGCAAATTAATAATTTATGAAAGAAAAAATTAGGGAAATAATATTAAACAATACATTGAAAAGTGAGTACATAATTCATTTTGGGACATTTGACAAACGTTAAAACCACAGTCATTCTGGGGCGAAGGAAATATTAAAAAAAAAAACTAAAGTCTTCCCTTATATAAATTCAAAATTTTAAATTTATTAACAAAGATCATAATAAATGTCAAATATATAAAGAGAGAAATTTTATAAATTCACAATCATTAGTGAAAATAACCACCACATAGTTAAAAATACAAAGAGCAACACAATACAAATTTATAAATGTGAAAAGGTTAGTAAATTTTTTGCAGTATTAACCTTATGTTTCTAATAATAATAATACTTTTAAAATTCAAAATTTAATTATTTTGTTAAAATACTTAGTAGTAATGATATATATATATATATATATATATATATATATATTTTGTTACATATATAACACTTATCTCTCAAATTTAAATCACTAGTAGAAAAAAAGTTTTTAAAATCGGTTATTTTTAACTTTTAAAATCGGTCCTCTAACCGATTTTATAAGAGCCGATTTTAAAAGTTAGACTTTTAAAATCAGTTATTTAACTGATAATAAAAGTTAACTTTTAAGATCGGTTGTTTTATAACTGATCTTAAAAGTCTTGACTTTGCAAAAATTAAAAGTGGAACGGGTTGTTCCAGGTTGTTAAAATAGCCTAAAAGTGTCGTTTGGAACAGACCGTTCTCCTTAACGACCCGTCCTCCTTGCAGAACGGCTCGTTCTCCTTGCAGAACGGCCCGTTCTCCTTGCAGAACGGCCCGTTCTCCTTGCAGGACGGCCCGTGCTGCCTGTAGAACGGCCCGTTCTCCTTGTAGAATAAACTAACAACAAAACTTAAGACACGAGAAGAGCATGAGAATGTTACCTTGAGAATGAGAAGCTGGAGACTTTAGATGAGAGCGCGAGAGAGTAAAAAAAAGAATGAAAGGAAAGATCAAAGAGAATGAGAATGAAGGGAAAGATAAAAGGTTTCTGATGATACTTTTAAAATCGGTTATTTAAGAACCGATTTTGTATACTACATACAAAATCGGTTCTGAAAGAACCGATTTTAAAAGTGCTACTTTTAAAATCGGTCATAAAATAACCGATCTTAAAATTTAAGATCGGTTAAAATTTAACCAATCTTAAAAGTGTTCACATTATTTACAAAATTGTTACCGCGTCACTTTTAAGATCGGTCACCTTTTAACCAATTTTAAAACTCTGATTTTAAATCTAATTTTTGCACTAGTGAAAAAATGAAAAATATTAAGAATTAAACTATCTAAAATAATAATTAAAAATACCAAAAACAGATACAATAACAATTCTAATTAAATAAAAATAAAAGTAGTATAGTTTAAAATTTTAAGTTAAAATTACATAGTAGTTCTACATTACCCATCTTCTTTAGTGCAAGTATCTATTTAGTAAATATCTATAAATTTTTAATATATCCATCGATATTTGTAAATATTTGAAAAAATATAAAATATAAAATAAAAAGATAAGAAATAAAATAAGACTAAAGCTAAATAATTTTGAAATATATATTTATATTAAAAATAATTTTGTAACATATGTTTATACTAAAATAAATAATTATGACGCATATATTTAGCGTAAAATAAATCAAACTAAACTATTTTATATATTGAAGAGTATTTTAATATTTTTAAAGTTAGGGTATCCTTATGTATGAGTATCTTCTTGTCCTCTCTGTCTCGTTATTAAATGAATACTTGTAACGACCTGGCTGGTCACTACACGCACAATACAACACACCGGAAACACTAGGCAGAAGAGAACGAGTATATAAATATAGGATCAGAATATATATATATATATACAAGGTCCCCAATCCGACTAGAGTTAGAGTGTACAAAACAAAATACATCCATCAATTGCTAACCAAGTAGCTAAATACATCAACAGAAATAAACTTCATCTGCCAGCTACTGACTCTCCTCAGCGGCACCAACCTCAACCCTGCTCTGCTCCCATACATAGTATGATCATCGCAGTCCAAACCACATGGAAACAACAAAGGGTAAGCTAGTGTAAAGAAATCGACATACATACATAAATATGAAAATAAAAGCATCTACAGCTATCAGCACACCCGTACAGCTTATACTACACCACAGCAAATTCAGCAATATCAGCACCGCTCAACGGCTATAACAGCACCACAATAGTGGCTAATAGCACCGACATAGCGGCTATAACAGCACCACAATAGTGGCTAAACACAGCATATAGCTCAGCAATAAACAACACAACAAAATCAGCATACAGCACAGCCAAGTAGTACTCAATCAGCATACAGCACAACTTAGTATTCAACACAGCTTACTACTCACAACTCAGCTTATCATTCTAGAGCACAGCCATATTATAAATCAGCATTTAAAATCATCAATAACAGTCTATCGTCTTACATCACATCTAAGCATCTTACAGCAATATACACCTAACACAACTCAACATCATCAAACAACAATTTTAGCTAGTCATCACATCATATTCATCAATTTCGGCTTAGTTCAGCATAAAACAATATTATCATCAAATTCAGCATATAACTTCACATCCTCATACGCGCCCGACGCACTCATGGTCGCGCCCGGCGTGGCACAACCAGAGGGCTCCAGGGGCCAACGCGCCCGGCGCAAGCGTGCCTACGCCCGGCGAGACTTAGCCAGAGAGTCCAAATCTCTC